ACCCCAATGTTTATGGCAGCATTATCAACAATAGCCAAAGTATGGAAAGAGCCCAAATGTCCATCGATGGATGAACGGATAAAGAAGATGTGGTATATATATGCAATGGAGTATTATTCGGCAATCAAAAAGAATGAAATCTTGCCATTTGCAACTACATGGATGGAACTAGAGGGTATTATGCTAAGCAAAATTAGTCCAAGAAAGACAAAAATCATATGACTTCACTCATATGAGGACTTTAAGAGACAAAACAGATGAACATAAGGGAAGCAAAAATAATATAAAAACAGGGAGGTGGACAAAACATAAGAGACTCTTAAATATGGAGAACAAACAGAGGGTTTCTGGAGGGGTTGTGGGAGAGGGGATGGGCTAAATGGGTAAAGGGGCATTAAAGAATGCACTCCTGAAATCATTGCACTATATGCTAACTAACTTGGATGTAAATAAAAAAATAAATTAAATAAAAAGAAAAAGTAAAATGATTTATTTTAGAAAATCTAAACAATATAGAAAAGCAGTAAAAAAGTTTATTTAAGAAGCAGCAGTTTCCCCACTACCCAAAGATAAGCACCACTCAGGTTTTAGAGTATACCAGATATCCGGTCAGTTTATGTTTTTCAATGAAATTTAAAATGTAAATCTTGTAAATATTGCAGATTTTATTTAAAAATAGATGTCCACACATGGATTTTTTTTTCTCAATGAGATAATTCCCATTTGTGAACTATACAGGTTATTCTTCTAATTACTATTTTCTTGGTCACTCGGTGTACATAGTCCCTATTCTTTTCTAGTTCCTGGCAGATATGGAAAATAATGCACTTTTCCGGGATGATATAGAATGTCAGAAACTTATTATGGAAGCGATGAAGTACCACTTATTACCAGAGAGACGACCCATGTTACAAAGCCCTCGGACAAAACCTAGAAAGTCAACGGTTGGAACACTATTTGCAGTTGGAGGAATGGATTCAACAAAAGGTATTAAATCATTTTTTATTTGGGGGAAGAGGGGAAAAAAGAACTTTAATTAGTAATACATATGGCCAATGAGCTTTTTTAGAGAAATGGCTGTTTCCAGGACTGGAAAAAGACAAGATAAACCCAGCACATCTTGTAGTGCCAGAAAGTAAAGAAGTGGTCAAAGAATAATGGAGACAGTCAAGGGACAGAAGAGGCCATTTGTAGAGGCTACTACTGTCCAAATCTAGGATAATTTCAGCATCAAAATAGATAATGATGATAAAAGATTATCATTTAGTAAATCAGTAAGGATGCATGAGCCCACTCTTACACAAATAAAGATTGGAGAAGGGAAAGGTTTTCTTTGAATGCCAACTAATAAATATAGAAGGAAAGATGGGACTAGAAAAAGTACCATTTGGCAACCACCTTAATGATAACTAATTCAGTCAAGAATCATTCATAGATGCTGCAATCAGTAGGTGAAGGTTTGAGAACAGGATAATTAGCCTCCAAGTATCTTCCAACCACTTGCTTAGTAGTTACAAAGGGTGAAATAGTATCTTTACAGTGGAGAAAACATGGCAGACAGCACCTTAACCAAATGATCGATGTCTTATTGCCAGTAACAAGACTAATCAGTAGTATGTTCCTCTTGTGGGAGACAGTAAGAAGAACTCGGCTGTACATCTGTAGTTACGCTTGCCAAAAGTGTATAATCCAAACTTAATCATGAGGAAAGAAACAAACAAATCCAAGTTGAGAGACATTCTACAAAATAACTAGTCTGTCTGTAGTTTTCCAAAATGCTAATATCATGAAATACAGAAAAGATTCAGGAATTATTCCACATTTCAGGAGACTGAAGAGATATGACAACTATTATAATGCATCATCTTGAATTTCTTTTGCTATAAAGGACATAATTGGAACAAATGATAAGATCCAAATTAAGTCTGTAGATTAGATGACAGCATTGTATAAATGTTAATTTCCAGATTTTGATCATTGTATTGTGGTTTTGTGATAGGGTTTCTTGTCTTGAGGAAGACACACTGAAGTATTTAGGGTACAAGGTATCATTTCTACAACTTAAACAGTTCAGGAAAAAAAAATTCTACATACCCGTATATAGTGAGAGCAAATATAAAACCTCAATATTTGGGAAATCTGTACCAAAGGTATCTGGGAATTCTTTGTGTTGTTCTTGTAACAGTTTTTACTAATAGTAACAATAATAGTAACAAATACCACATATAGTGCCTACCCAATGTCAGGTATTGTGCTAGAAGCTTTCTGTGTATTATCTCTCAGTGTACATTGATCTCCCTCTGATTTCCTAGTACTAATAGCCGCCTGAAATTCCCTGACAACACCTCTCTGACTTCAGACTACCTTTCTGAGCTCAGCTCATTCATTCCACTTCTCCACTCTTTGTGTTCTAGCCCCGCTGGCCTCCCTGTTCACGTAACAAGCCAAACATTATCCCACACTGGGGATATTATGTTAGCTGTTCCCTCTCACTGGAATGCTATGTGCTCTGATGTTGGAATGCCTCGCAGAATTTATTCACTTAGATTCCCAGATATCAGTTTACCAAAGAAGACTTCCATGGCCAGTCATCACCTGTTCATCACTCTCTAATCTTTGGCCTACCTCTTTCTGTCTTGTTCCTCTATTTATGTTTCTTCTTAGCACCTGATCCATTGATTTATCGTCTACCTCTTACCCACAAGTAAGCTCTGGAAAGCAAGAAACTTGTTTTTTTTGTTTTTTGCTTTTTGTTTTTTTCAAGAATATATCTTACAGAGCCTAGATCAGTGCCTTGCCCATAGATAGCATCAATAAATATTTGCCAGATGAATGAAGGTTGTCCTTTGCCATCTCTTGAATTATTTGTATGACTTAAGCCCTTGATGCATTATTCACATTCAAAGATTTCTTTTCTACCTGATATCTTTAAAGAATATAAAACTATGAGCTCTAATCGAAAGTCTTTTATTGTGATTTAACTTTTAGCCTCATGGTAACAAAGATATAGCTGTAGATATTATCCCACAGAACATAATAGAGTACTATGTATTTATAGATGCTGAAGTTCTAAATATAGGCTTCATCACTGAATGCTACAGAAATACATAAAGTTAGATAACTGACGAGAGTTATAGTATAAATATTTGGCATTTTTGGAGCACTCTACAGTCCAGGCAATCAATCTGCAAATACTTATTAAGTGTTTACTATATGCTTGGAACTGGTGCTCAGCTTTGTAGTCGTTACTGGCACTTCTTCCTCTCCATCTTTCCCTCTCTTTTTCAAGGCTTTAACGGTTATTTCTGTGTTGCTTATACCATTGTGTTGCTTTTATGCTCATATTTCCAACTTGTATAAAATATCTGTTTGTTGTCCAACTTTCATCTCAAATTTTGTGTGTTCTGACCCATGTCTCCCGGACTCGAGGACTCGGAACTGTAATTCAGTGTCTTTCAACGGATACCAACTCTGGCTCATTTAAGCAGATAAAGAAGGCTGTTGAGAGATGGGCAGGAACTATATCCACTGCACCTTCTTTATAATGCCTGCCTTAGATTTTAAATCCTAGGTTTAAGCATCCATTTTTACCAGCTTCCTGGGCCCTAAGCCTCCAAGGACAATGAGGATCAATATCTGTCTTTTCAGCTTCATGGTAGATGGGTTTCTGCCTCTCATCAAAGCTCTTTCCTACGGTGGAAAATTCCCCTTGCATGAGAAGGAACTCAGATACGAAGTACCCAAAGTGAATAATACATCTCTCTCTTTCTTTCTTTCCCATCCCTCCCTCCCTTCCCTCTAAATCGTACCTTCTGACAGTCACCAAATAGTCTTTGAAAGGGGTCTGTTCTTCCAAATTTCCATTGCTACTTTCTAGTACCAGGTAGCCCCCTATCAGCCTACATCTTTTGATCACATTCATTTAACATAGGAATAACATTCATTGTGCTCATTGTGTTGTTAGTATGTGGTAGGCATTATGTTAAGTGCTTCACCTATTATTTTTAATTTCATGTTCATAACAGCTGTAAGAGTTGAATGTTGCTATTGCTCTAGGATACCTGGACATAGAAAAGTTAACTACCTTTCCCCAGAATACACAGCTAATTAGGGATGGAATCAGGATTCAGATCAGGCATTGACGTGGGAGACTATACCCTCTGTTTCATTATTTCTTCTGTTTATATGCCATTACTCTGCTAAAAATTATAATAGTCTTTACTTCTTACCACATGAGACATAAATTCCTCTTTTTAGGTTTGAAGACTTTCTGTAATCTGGCCCTTACTACTTGACCAACTTTATTTCTGAGTCTTTGCTAGACATCAGTTACTCTTACCTTCTATCCTATTCAAGCTATCTTCCCTGGCCTCAACTTATTTTGTACCCAGTGTCTTTATAATGGAGAGCAATTTGCATTAATTGGAGGGCAATCTGATCACTGGGTTCTTGGTCCCTACATATAACTTAGTGTAGAGCCTAACACATAAACTGGTAATGTTTCTAAATAACCACTAAGAAAATGTTAGCATATATTTCTGCTTACTTTTTTAAAGGCTAATCTTTAAGTATAAGTCAAGGAAGTTTTAAGCTTCTACACAGAATTTTGTAATTATTAGGAATTTGTTATTTGGGGATATTTGTTTTTGTTTTTATTTTAAGAATTATGTTTGGTGTTAGCAAAGGAAATTTTACTTAGCAGTTCATAGGACTATGATACTGCCTAGTGAGCTAGAAGTAAAAGAAAGAATTTAAAATGAAAGAAATATTCCTTAACTTCATAAGTGAGGAAAGATGACTAGCATTGCCTTTTTAATGGAATGAAGACATTTTTTAAGATCAAATTCAGAGTGATGAATAAAGTATACTATTACATAAAATAATGAGTGTATGAATAAAATCTCATTATAGCTAAAAATTATAAAGAAAAATTATTCAAGTCAAAAAATATTTTTGAACAGCTACTGCATACAAGAAACTCTGTTGCTGTGAAGAATACAGAGATGATGGGTCACCTGGCTGGCTTGGTCAGTAGCCTGTGGCTCTTGATCTCAGGGTTGTAAGTTTGAGCCCTATGTTGGGTGTAAAAATAAAATCTTTAAAAAAAAAAAAAAAGAATACAGAGATGGAAAAAGACTTGTAATCTATCCCAAATAACTTAAGAATTTCATAGGTTAAATTAATAAAATAAAAACTATAATGTATGAGAAGAAATACATATATTATATATACAGTATTCTAAATAGATTATATATATAATATTATATGTATAATATATATAACAAAACTCTTTCTAAATTTTAGGAGTTTCCAGTAGTACTAGTGCTCTGATGAAGTAATTATAACAAATACTTCAGAATAAATATTTGTTATGATTTTAATTCTATAAAGAGCTCTGATTGCATATGATATTCAA